TTTTACATTTATTAAAATTTTGGAGCAAACATGTATTAAAATTCTTCAGAAACTTAATTATTTTTTAATATTTTTGAAATACATTCTTTTTATAATTTCAATTATTAAAAAAAAATTGAATAGATTTCAATTATTTGGAAACTTTTCAATTATTTAAAAAAAAATTGAATAGATTTCAATTATTTGGACACTTTTCAATTATTTAAAAAAAAAATTGAAAAGATTTCAATTCTTTGGGAACTTTTCAATTATTTATAATTAAGAATTTTATTCTTTGGAAAATGAAGTAAAAATATTTTTCAATAACTAATTTTAAGAATTTTTTGTTAGAAGTTTTTAAAAAATTATTTTTAATATTTATATATGTATAAAAATATTCAAAATAAGTGATTTTCAAAAATTTTTCTAATTTAATTCAATAATTAAAAAAAACCACGAAAAATTTCAGTTAAAATTATTTTTCAAAAATTTGAATTTTGTATTTTAATAATTGAATTCTGGAGTGGCATTCGGAAAATTTTATTTAAAATAATTGATAGAGATAAAATTTAGTCAAAAATTCTATAAACAATTTTATTTTGAACGAATTGCAATTGTAATTTTTGAAAATAATTGAAATTCAGAAGAATTGAAAGTAAAATTCAAAAAATTTTAATCCGAGGCCTGTCTGAGGAAACAAATTTTCTCCTATGGAGGTAAACGTAATTTTTTTCTACACTATTTTTTCGGAAAATACTTTTTACCGAATAATAATTGATTTTTAAATCAATTATTTATTCAAAATAGTTTATTTATTGTAATATTTAGTAATTAAGAAAATTTTATTTTTTTCGTATCAATTTAAATTAGTAACAATTAAATATTTTCAAAGAACCCAAGAACTTTGTATTTTAATTTTTTTAAATTAAAAGAAGATTTAATTATTAAGAAATTTAATAATTAAAAAAGTAATTATGTTTTTTCGAATCAATTTAAGTTAGTACCATAATAAAAAATTTTGAAAACACTCAAAAACTTTAGTATTTTAATCATTTGAAAGTGAAAAAAATGATTTAATTATCAAAATATTTGATAATTTTTGGTTTTGATTTATTTGGTTTTTTCAAATCAATTTAAATAAGTAGCAACTAAAAAATTCCAAAGAACACAAAAACTTAATAAATTTTAATTGTATTTAGATTTACACTTCAGAAATCATTTCATTTTTAAAGAATTTACTAATTAAGAAATTTATTTGATTTTTTTCGAATCTATTAAAATTAGTCCCAATTATAAATTTCGAAAAACCTTAAAAACGCCAGAAATTTCAAATTATCGGAATAAAAATAGGGCGTTTTTTTATTAAGTAAATAGTGAGAAATTATAAATTTTCCTCTAAGAATTTAAGAAAAGTGTCTCAATGTTTGCCAAAAATTCGTTCAAGTAAACTCGACATGTTTCCGGTGTGTAATGGGACAAATTTTACCGACAACTTTCAGACGGTGGCAAATTTACCTTGATTTCTAATTTCCGGTGTATCATTTACTGGAGCGAGACATGAAATTTTTTGAGAGCTATATAATTGCGAGGGCGGGAAAAAGTATTTTTTCTTTTTTTTCTCTTTTTTTAACTAAAAATGGCGAATTTGTCGATAAAAAGAAAAGGTTCGGTAAAAAAAAGGAACTAAATCTAAAAAGGCAAGGGCACTTTTATAGGTAAGAATCTATTTTATGTCTGTGGGATTCGCGAAATTACGACTTCAACTCCAACGATCCAGACAAAAGAAGAATGCGAACTTTTATATATGTCTTAAAACGAAAGCTAATCCTTCTATGCGCTTAACTCACTCCCTCATTTCAGTATTACAACGATCGCGCTATACCTTTTGCGGCAGTAAAAGAATCAGCAGAATTTCATTTTTATTACGTTTCATATATATTTTCGGAAAAATACAGAGAAAAAAAATTCAACTATAATAGGATAGAGAAAAATTGCGCTTTTATTCGGAATAAATTATTATTTTGAAATTAAAAATTAGGATAAGATGGTAAAAAATAAATATTATCAGTGTTGACCACCAAGAAACTTGTGTTTGAAAATGAGAGAAACATCAATAAAATTTGATTGCTACAAGATAATAAAAAAAAACAGTTAAAAACAATGTTGCAATTTGGATACGAAATTTTTTTCTTCTTCTTGAAAACGAGTCAATAATCTTGAAAGTGTCTACTAAACATTCAAAAGCAAATAAAATGAATGAGCAATAAAAAGTCAAGTTCTTTTAAAGACAGTTAAAAATCGTAAAAATATTTATTACAAGAAATGAAGAGGACGAGGAAGAAATAGATTCTGCGAATATAACATACGTTGAAACAAGTAAACTGATATTTCGGGGGCGTTTCGATTTCATCAGAAGAGAGAAAAAGAGAGAGAGAGAGAGAGAGAGAGAAAAAGAGAGAGAGAGAGAGAGAGAGAAAAGTCAAAATGAGGCTGAGTGTGTAGAGTTTATTTCGAAACGGTCACAATTCTGAAAAGGAACATAAAAACGACAAATAAAATATGAAATAGTGTCCAAGTGTTTCTCTTCTTTTGAATGCAACTCAACATTTGGAGAGCACACGTTCTTTTGTACAAAAATGTATTTTTATTCGTTAAATTGTTTCTATTTTCAATATTTTCAAGAAGGAAAATAGTTTTTAGAAAGAAGAAAATGAAAAACAGTTTCCAAAGGGGGAAAACTTTTCCGAACAAGAGAGAAAATATTTCCGATTCGTTTCAAAAATTTTTATTTTCGAAGAAATATTTTGTATAAACGAAAATTAGTTTTTCCGAAGGAAAATATTTAAAGAAAAGTAATTTTTCTAAAGGAGAATATTTAAAGAAAAGTAATTTGCCTTAATTTATAAAGAAAAGTAATTTTTGAAAAAAGTTTTATTTTCCAAAGAAGAAAAATATTTTTCAAAAGGATAGAAAATAGTATGAAATAGAAAAGAGAATATTTCCAAAGAGGAAAAACATTTTTTCCAGAAAACAATACTTTCAAAAAGAGAAAGCATATTTTTTCAAAAAGAAAATTCTTTCAAAAATGAAAAAATGATTTTTCCAGAAAAAAATACTTCTAAAAAGGAAATAAAAATTTTTCAACAAAAAAATACTTTCAAAAAGAAAGGAAAATATTTTTTTGAAAAAGAAAATACATTCGAAAAAGGAAAAACAATTTTTCTAGAACAAAAATCCTACATTTAAAGACGAAACAAATTTTTTTAGATGGAAAATATTTTGAAAAAACAATTTTTCTTGAAAAAAAATACTTTAAAAAAGGAAAAGCATGTCTTTTCAGAAAGAAAATACTTTAAAACAAGTAACGAAAATATTTTCTCAATGAAAAAATTATTTACAAGGGAAAAACAATTTTTTTTTCATCAAGAAAATACTTTCAAAGAATGGAAAAGAAAGAAATGAAGGAAAATGGGTTTTTTAGAAAGAAAATACCTTCGAAAAAGGAAAAGACAAATTTTCCAGAAAATAATACTTTTAAAAAGGAAACAAAATTTTTTTAGAAAGAAAATACTTTTAAAGAAAAAACTTTTCATGAACAAAAATACTTTCAAAAAGTATAGAAAGTATTTTCAAACAGAAAAATCTTATACTTCGGGAAAGAAATCATTTTTACGCAGGGAAAAAACTACTTTCTAAAACAAAAGACCTTCTTTCAAAAGAAAATACTTTTAATAAAAAATGAAAAATATTTTCAAAAAGTTTAAAAATTATTTATTCCAAACGGAAAAGCAATTTTTTTATTTTGAAAATTCTTTCAAAAAGGAAAAGTTTTCAGAAAGAAAATACTTTTAAAAAAGGAATGAAAATGTTTTCATAATGAAAAAATTATTTTCAAAAAGGGAAAAAGAATTTTTTTCAACATGAAAATACGTTCAAAATGGAAGGAAAATATTTTTTTCAGAAAGAAAATACTTTCGAAAATGGAAAAACAATTTTTTCCAGTAAAAAAATACTTTTATTTTGCGTTTAAGAAGAAAATAGAATTTTTTTAGAAATGCAAAACTTTCAAAAACGGGAAAGAAAATATTTTCAAAACAAAAAAAATTTTCCCAGAAAAAATACTTTTAATAGGGAAAAAAAAAATTTTCTCTGAACAAATACTTTTAAGAAAACCCTTTTTGCCCAGAAACGAAATACTTTTAAAAAGTATAGAAAATATTTTCAAAAAGGAAAATCTTACTTCCGAAAAAAAATAATTTTTGCGCTTAAAAAATACTTTTATTTATTTATTTATTTATTTATTTAACATTGGTCCCGCAATTTTGTTTTTTTTAAAAAACAAAACAGATATTTTTAGAAGAAAATACTTTTAAAAAGTTTAAAAATTATTTTCAAAAAGGAATAGCAATTTTTTCAGCAAGAAAATTCTTTCAAATGTAAAAAACTTTTTTTCAGAAATAAAATACTTTCAATAAGGATAGGAAATGTTTGGAAAAAGAGAAAAGTACTTTCAAAAAGAAAAAAAATACTTTTGCTATTAGGAAAAAATACTTTTTCTAGAAAGAAATACTTTTTCTAGAAGAAAATACATTTTCTAGAAAAAAATACTTTTTCTAGAAAGAAATACTTTTTCTAGAAGAAAATACATTTTCTAGAAAAAAATACTTTTTCTAGAAAAAAAAATACTTTTTCTAGAAAGAAATACTTTTTCTAGAAGAAAATACTTTTTCTAGAAAAAAATGCTTGTACCAAAAAAATATTCGAGAAAGAAAAAAATATTTTCAAATAATTTTGAAAAGAATATTATATTTCATTAAATCATAATTTATTTATTACATACAAGGGTAGTATTTATTTATTTATTTATTTATTTATAAACAATTAAATTAACTAGGAGTACACATATTATTACTAGTCGGTTTATTTACAAAAAAAAGTATCGAAAATTTTGTATTATTGACAAATAAAAGAACAACAAAGATTCATTGATAAAAAAATGTTTAATACAAGACGAGACTTACCAGGGTTATGTGGTGGAAGATTCCGGAAGACAATCAATATTCGACGGAATTTTAAAATGTGTATTAAACAGCCTCGAATGAAGATCTAAGAAAGTTGGATAACCTGGTGGAATTCCACCGATAAGTGGAACACGATCAACATACGTTGGTGCACCAAGTGTCTTGAATGGCGTATTGAAACAGGAGTGTTGTAATTCCGGTTTCACTTGGCATAATAAGTCTGGTTTTATCTGATAGGGCATTGTCGATTTTGATGGATATTGTTCCGGCTTTATTTGACACAATAATTCCGGTTTATATTGAAAAGGTACATCGGACTTCATTGAATATTGTTCCGGCTTTATTTGACGCAATAATTCCGGTTTAAGTTGAAAAGGTACATCGGACTTCATTGAATATTGTTCCAGCTTTATTTGTCGCAATAATTCCGGTTTAAATTGAAAAGGTACTTCGGACTTCATTGGATATTGTTCTGGCTTGAACGTATGCAATAAATCTGGTTTAACATCCCTCAGGAACTCTGGCTTCAATTCACGCAGCAAATCTGCATTGTTGTGATGCATTCTTTGTGAGAATTCCATAATATCCTTTCTTGCTGTCAAAACAAAAGAGAAACAAAAGAGATTATTATACAATTTTCGAATTTATTTCTAGGTAATTTATTATTGATACTAATTAATACTAATTGATATTAATAATAATTGATGTTAATTATTATTGATAATTTGCTTATTTTTCATTCATTTAGTTGTATTTTTTTGGGAATTAGTTTAACTAATTTTAATGACAGGCCTCCAAACTCTCGAAATTTGATTATAAATATTATAAAATTTATAAATAGTTATAGAATTACGAATATTGACGAACATTTTGAGATTCAATATGGAGACGCTAATCTCCACCTGAGAACGCCAATGCCACCGCTAGATGGCAGTTCGTCAGCCACCTAGTGGCGACCTTGGCGTTCTCAAGTGGAGAAATTTATTTTAACCCCCAAAAAGTTTTTTTTATTAATACAGGCCTCGCACTCAATAATAATTAATTTTAAAATAGTAGTAAAAAGAAGCTTTAAGACCGAAAAAAGTAGTAAAAAAAACAGCTATTGAAAAATTAAATTTGACAACTAAAAACAACTCGTTTTATATGATTCAGAAAAATCACAAAAATTTAATTCTGCATTTTTTTATAATTTTCATCGAAAATATTTCGATTTTCTTCTACTGTTAATAACTTCAATTATAAATTTTTACAAAATTCAATAATTTTCTAAACTTTAATATTAAATTCTACAAAAATACGATATTTAAAAATAATTTTTAAATTTAAAAAAAAAATTTTAAATCTACAATTTAATTCAATTAAATTTGACAATAGTTCCAAATAATTGGAAATGTAATTTAATCTTTTAAAAATAATTTACGGGAATTCAACTATCTTGAAAACATTTCACAGTTTTTCAAAATACGAATATTTTTAATAATTTTCAAATTAAATTACATTCAAAACTTGAATAATTTTCGTTAAATAAATATTAAAAATTTTAAATATCTATTTATTTATCCACAGAAATTACAATTACAATATTTTAAATAATTACAGTGTAAAATTTTTTTTGAAATTTAACAATTTCTAAAAATTACAACTGTAATTCTTTCAAAATTTAATAATTTTTTTCTTAATTAAATATATTAGAAAAAAAATAATAAAAAATTACAGTTACAGTTTTACAAACAATTAATATTTTTAAAGATTAGAATTTAAAAATCTCTTGAAATTTAATTATTTCTAAAAATTTATAATATAACAGTTCTAATATTTAATTATGAACTAAATTTTTAATTGGAATTCAATTTTAAGTTAATTCTTCATAGAAAGATCTACGAAAATTCAATTATTTATAAATATAAAAATAAATAATGTATTAAATAATTAAATATTTCTTAAAATTGAATTCTTATAAAGAATTTAATCAAAATTTCTTAAAATAATTGAATTCTTTCGAATAATTTTAATAAAATTTTTAAAAATAATTGTATTTTTCGAAGAATTTGTTTAAAATTGTATAAAAATTAATTGAAATTCTGTGAAACGTATAATTATTTATAAAATTAAATTTAAGTCTTGCAAAGAATAAAATTTTTTAAATAGTTGATTTTGTTCGAGAAATTTTATGAAAATTGTATTTTAAGTAATTGAATTTAATTCTATATTTTTTTCTAATTTTCATCGAAAATATTTCGATTTTCTTTTACTGCTAAGAACTTCAATTCTAAATTTTTTATTAAATTTATATTCAAAGTAATTGAATTTATCCAAAGTATTTTATTATTTATATATGAAAATAATTGAATTCCAGCGGAGAACTTTAGTATTTACTTGAATAATTGAATTCTTACAAATTGTTTTCGACGAATTTAATTAAAATTTAATTGAAAATAATTCAATTCTTCTTAGAAAAATCGACGAAAATTCAATTATTTATAAAAATAAAAATAAATAATTTACTGAATAATTGAATATTTCTTCAAATTGAATTCTTCTAAAAGAGTTTTATCAAAATTTCTTAAAATAATTGAATTCTTTCGACCAATTTAATTAAAATTTTATTGAAAATAATTCAATTCTTATAATACAGAATTTTAATAAAAATTTTTTAAAATAATTGAATTTCTGCGAAGACTTTGCATTAAAATTTTCAAATAATAATTGAATTCCCAAGAATAATTTTATAAAAATTCTTTTAAATTAAATAATTGATTTTTTTTGGAAAATGCAATGAAAATTGTATTTTAATTTTTTAAATAATTGAATTATTGCAAAAATTTTATTATCTATAAAATTAATTGAATGTTTACAAAGAATTTTATTCAAATTCTTTTAAATAATTAAATTTGGGAAATTTTATGAAATAATTTGTAAATATTGAAAATAATTGATTTTCTGCGAAGATTTTCATTATTTGGAAAAATAGTTGAATTCTTTGAATTTCTTTGAAACGATTCAATTATTTTTGAAAAATTTTAAGAGAATTTTTCAAAAATAATTGAATTGAAGTTTAAGAAAATTTTTCAAAAATAATTGAATCGTTTCAAGGAAATTAATTTTTTTTTTTGAGAATTATTTAGAAATAAAAAATAGTAACACAAAATTGTCAACTTTTGCTACTATTTTTTATTTTTAAATTCAAAACAATTATTTTAATCAATTTCAATCAAAATTTAATTTAATACTAATTAATACTTGAATAAGTAATTGAAGATTAATTAATTTTTTCAATAATTAATTTAAAGATTAAGTAATTAATTTTTTTTTGAATTTTTTTACTAAAAAGTAAGCTATTATTTGGAAAATTGTTTATAAAAACTAAAAATTCTACACTATCATAAGGCGTATTTAAAAATTTAATGATGAAATAGTGTAATAATGTGCGCTGGCGCGTCTCTAATGGCAAAATTATAAATTCAATAATTCTCGCACCCAGTCATGGTAATAAGAATTTTCTGAGAAACAAGAGAGGCAGGGAGAGAAAAAAATAGCTCGAAACACGTGCAGACCGATCAGAAGAATAATTCTCGAAGCGATAAAATTTTGACTGATAATGGTTGCCCCATCAGTTTTAATTGCAACTTTCTGGGAATCATTTTTTTTATAGATTTCTATACATATATTTATGGTAGAAAACGGAATGGAGATTAATTTCCAAAAATTGATATTCGAAAAGATTTTATATATTTACTTATTTAGGGAAAAAAAGTTTTTTTTTATAGTAAAAAAAATAATTCTTTAAAAATATATTCTTCGTTGAGAAAAATGACTATTATTCTTAGTCACAAAAAATATTAACTAAAAAAATAAATAATTAAATTCTTTTTTATTTTATTCTTCGTTGCTCTCAATACCTCTTGCATTATAAAAAAATCTATATATTTAGTCGCGCATGTTTATTTTAAATACGGTTTAATTTCAATCAACTATTTAAATTACTTTGATATGATTCGAAATCACGCCAGTCAATCTCGTCCACAACAACTTCCTTTGCAAATATTTATTAACGTGACACTGGCATTCAAGTCCGAACACATTAACGGGATACTGATAACGTCTCATATCAAAGTGTGATAATAAAAAAAAAAAAAACATTAAATTCGCTCTCTTTACTCGACTGCATTTTCATAAATTATTAATCTACTTTGTATTTTCGAAAATTCTTCTCTCGATATTTTTATTTTATTGAAAATATTAAAAATTTCCAATACAATATGCAATTTGTAATAAAAATCTAATTTTGTTTTTCCCTGACTTTTCCCTGATTTTCAGAATTTTTCACTGGAAAAAAATTTTTCCCTAAAGAATAATAATTCACTCTAAATCGTTAATTTACCCGAAAATTGATTATAGATTACGGAAAAAAAATGTTTTGATAATTTTATTTGCGAATTTCTTCAAATTTAAATTATTCGAAAACATTTTTTTTAAATATTTAATAAATATTATTTTTTCATATATATAAATTATGATTTTGAAATTATAAATTTCAACCCTTTTAAAATTTGATAATTTATATAAATTGCTACTGTGTCTTCTTGAAAATTATTTTTATGATTTCAATTCATTTTGCTGTAATTTTTAACTGAATTTCGATAAATTAATTATTTTAAATAAGAAAATTAGGAAATTTGGAATTTAAAAAATTTTTTAAATTTAAAAATTAGTTGTACAAAATTGTTAATTAAAAGTATTAAAAATACAGATTTTCGAAAATTTTAATTTGAAACGATTTCAAAAGTGAATTATTTCAAAAAATTTATATTATTTGTAACTTCTCCAAGACGAAAAATCCATTATTTTTTAGAGTTTTTGACTAAAATTAATCTCTAAATCAATTCTTTTTAATAGTTTTCAGAAAATTCTTCTCTAAATTAATTATTTTTAATAATTTTCGGAAAATTATTTTGGGAAATTTTATTAAAATAATACACATTGAAAATTATTGAATTGAGCAAAATTTTTGAAAATAATTGAAATATTACCACGAGTTTTATAAAATTTTTTGAAAATAATTGAATTTGGTAGAAGAATTTTGCTATTTATAAAGATAATTGAAATCTTCACGAGAATTTTTTTAAAATTTTAGAAAATATTTTAATTTTTGTGAAGAATTTTATTACTTTTAAAAATAATTGAATTGTTGTATAATAAATGTTGTTATTTTTTGGAAATAATTGAATTTTGTAGGGAATAAAATTCTTGAAAATAATTAAATTTCTGAGAAGAATTTTGATATTTATCAAGAGAATTGATTTCTTTCGAAAAATTGTGATAAAATTTTTGAAATATTCTTAAATACATATTTAAAAATTCAACTAATTTTAACAAAAAATTTTTAATTATTTTATTATTAAATTATTTTAAATTAAATTTTTACAAAAAAATTAGATCTAATCAATTAAAATTTTTCAAAAAACAAATAATAGAATTCAAAGTTTATTTTACTAATTTTCAATGAAATTTCCTACGGCTATAATAAAACTTACTCTGGAAACAAATAAATGGAAAAATTGATTTTTTAATTAAATTTATTTAAAATTTTCCTCT